TCAGTCCTGTCCTACAATAGTGGCACTACGAAGAAATTGAATAGGTCATAAAAAGACTTCCCCATAAGAAAAGTGCTGGACCAGATAGATAGCTTCCCAGCTGAATTCTACCAAACATTTAGAGAAGATCTGTCACCAATTCTTCTTAAAGTATTTAAAAAAAAGAGAAAAAGAAGGAACTTGTCCAGAGTCATTCTGTGAAGCAAGTATAACCATAATACCAAAACCAGGCAGATAATACCAAGAAAGAAAAATACAGACTAATATCTCTCATGAATATAGATTAAAAATCCTTAATAAATCCTAGCCAATAGACTCCAAAAACATATTTTAAAAATCATCATGACCAAGACAGATTCATAACAAGTATGCAAGGATAGTTCAACATAAGAAAAATAATAAATATAATTCACCACATCAACAAAACAAATAATAAGAGCCATATAATCTTAGAAGGCATTTGACAAGATCCAACACCCCTTCCTGAAAACGACACTCAGCAATATTAGATTAGAAGGGAATTTCCTCAACATAGTGAAAAGTATATATGCAAAACCAAGAGACAATATTGTTCTCAACAGAGAAAGATTATAGAAACATTTTCCTTGAGAACAGGGACCAGACAAGGATGCCCACTGTCATTACTCCTATTCAACAGTGTATGGGAAGTGCTTGCTAGGGCAATATGACAAGAGAAGGAAATAAAAGACATCAAGATCACTGTACGCAAGTTATATGATAGTGTACACAGAAAACACCAATGACTAAAAAAAAAACCAACAAAAAATCATCAACAACAACTGTTAGAACCAGTATGTCAGTTTAGTAGAGTGGCAGGGATATAAGATCAATATAAAAAAAATCGGTGGGATTCCTCTGCAGTAACAAAAAGAACTCACAGAAGGAAACCAAGAAACCAATACCATTTACAACTGCCAAGTTGAGATACTTGGGAGTGAAACTAACTAGAGACACAAAAGACCTGTACCAAAAAAACCCTACAGAACATTTCTGCAAGATACCATAAAAGACTTCAATAAATTAAAAAATGTGCCCTGTTTATGGATAGAAAAATTCAATACTGTTAAAATGGCAATCCTACCAAAAGCAATTTACATGTTCAATGCAATCCCAATACAGATACCAGATTCATTTTTCAAGGAGCTCAAAAAGGGAATCGTCAGATTTATTTGGAGATGAAAGAGACCCCAAATAAGCAAAGCACTTCTGAAAAATGAAAAATAAAGCGGGAGGCATAGCACTCTCTGACCGCAAAACTCACCATACAGCCTTAGTAACCATAACAGCATGGTACAGGTACCATGATAGGCACACAGAGCTATGGATCTGAATTGAGAACCCAGAAATGGACTCAGCTATCTACGGTCAACCTACATTCAACAAGGAGATAAAATCTAGCAAATGGGGAAATGACAACCTCTTCAACAAATAGTCCTGGCAAAACTGGACTGCTACCTGCAGAAAGCTGAAACAGGATCCACATCTCGCACCACAGACAAAAATCAGCTCAAGGTGAATCAGAGACCTACAAGTAAAGCCCAAAACCTTTACGCTTATCAGAAACAAACTGGGATCAAGCTTAGACAGCCTAGTCTATGGTATAAAGAGACTGTCAAATGTAGCCAGAGAAACACAGTCAGGAGCGGATAAAATTAATGAATGGAACCTCTCAAAGATTAAATCCATGCGCACATCAAAAACTTTTGCCAATAGAGTGAAAAGAATACCTACTGACTGGAAAGAAACATTTGACAATTACATTTCAGACAAGGGTCTCATATCAAAAGCTTACAGAATTTCACAGGACCTCTGCAAGAAAAGGCTAGTAACACAAATAAAAGATAGGCAAAAGACATGGGAAGAATTTTCACAGAGGAAGATGTGCAACAGATGGCCAACAGATACATGAAGAAATGCTCAAAATCACTGGCAATAAGAGAGATGCAAAACAAAACTACAATGAGATACCATTTCACTTCATTAGCAGTGGTAACACTTAACAGGACAAGTAATAAATGTTGGAGAGGATGTGGTGAGATAGGAACTCTTACACGCTGTTGGTGGTACAACCACTCTGGAAGGGAGTTTGGCTTTTCCTCAGAAAACCAAACATAGAAATTGCGTAGGGCCCAGCTATTCCACTGATTGGAAAATACCCCAAGAAAATGAGAACTGAGGCACAAATGGAGACTTGTACACCAATGATCATAGCAGCATTATTCACCATTACAAAAACATGGAAACAGCCCAAATGTCCAATCACAATCAAATGGATTGAGAAATTATGGTACATTTACACAACTGAATACTTCGAGTATGCAAGAGCAATGATTGTATAAATTACTACATAACTTGGGAGAGACCAGAGAGCATTATGTTATGTTGCGAACTGGATGCAGAAAAATAAACAGGGACATGATAAAATGAATTCTGAAAAAGAGGGAAGGCTGAGGCAGAGGTCCACTCAGAGCACAGCGCTGTGAAAAGACCCCTTTCTCAGTCTCCTTATGGTTTTTATTTCGTTTCAGCCAATCATCCTAAAAAAGTTCAATCTCCGGAGACCATATTTTCCTTACACTTAAGTGTTGCCAACATAACAATGGGTAAGCTTAATCTTTAAACTAAGACCAAAATTCAGACACGGCGTCCCCTCCGGTGGGAGGCTGGGAGGGATTCTCTGTGTGCAGAGGGTGCTCAGTGCTGTCTGGACTCTGATCTCAGCTGTGACCCTGTTGTCACTACGCCGGGGAATCCACAATGTGAACTAATTCAGTCCCATAAAGACAAAAACTGTTTAAGACTGTTACTGCTCTGTCACATGAGGTCCTTTTAATTCTCGACTCAATGGCACACAGCAAAAATTATTTCATAGTCCTGTGACAGGAAAGGAAAGATTTCGAACTAGTACTAAAATTCCCACCAACAAAAGAATTTGTCTTTATACACTATGGTTATTATAGTATTACTATCTATTCAGTTCATTGTATATTACACATGAAGATGAAACCAACAGAACACATAAAAGGCTTTTAAATGTCCACTTAGAATCGGATCATCCTGTTTATAAGGGGTTGCGTTGGATGTAAGTGTCAAGTATAGTTTTAGTCAGAATATGATGTGAAGCGATAGCTCTGAACGTTTTCCAGGAAGTCGATTCCCTCCTTGATCAGCACCCCCACCCCCGGCCAAAGGTAAGGGTACAAGAGACTGTCTGACATGTACCTTTCCGCATGTGGTCAATTTGCAAGCTGCGTTAGGTGGGGTTCTTCTCACGACATCCTGTGCGCATTTCAGTTGAGCTGGGCTGCGGCCTCCGGTACAGCAGAAGCAGCGCCATGACCCTCACATTGATCGGCCTGCTGTGTCTTGGTAAGTCCTGGAAGGGAATGAAAGAGAAGGAATATTAGGGTGGAAAATATTGACGTGAAGCCTTGGTGTCCACACAAGACAGAGACACATCTGTAAGAGGCAGGATGGGCTTTGAGCTCAGAGTATCCCCCCAGCAGAGCACATCCCTGATGTGGAAAATACTGGACTGTGGTAGGGCCCAGGTCTTGCATGGAGATAATAAACCATCCTGATTCTTTCTTTTCCAGTGTATTTGATGGACCTCCAGACCTGGGCACAAGTAGGTGAGTCTTTTCCTCCAAAATTAAGTTACTTCCAAACCTCCAAGTAGAGGATTTTCCAATAAGAAGGCAGGAAGCCTAGGAGATTGGGCTGATGGATTCACTGTGAGAAGCTCAATGGGTAGATCATCTGTGAGCAAGGGCGTTGGGACATTTAGGCTCCAATTCTGCTCGACAACTCTTCCTCCCAAACTTCCCTCTTGATTGATTCAAACTCCAGGGTCATTTAGAGGAGACTGTGAAGCTCAGAGGCTGAGTGCATAGACTAAGGAGAAAAACCACTGCCAGAAAAAATAGATTATCTAGTTGTCCATTCTTCAACAACAGCAGGAATTGAAGAGCTTTGTTGGTATTCTATCAGAAATGTTGGAGGGAAATATGCAATGAACTCTGGAAACTGAGGAACATTCTGATACACAATCACTTTTTAATAGTATTCATTTATTTGTTGATGTTATTTCATCCACATAGACTTTTTTCTTCTAATCTTTGTGTGCCTTGTGGTGTCTTAGAGAACAACTTTTTGTGTTCTCAAGATCTGGTAAGAGTTCACTCTTCAGTATTTGTTCAAAATCCCCCATCTGTATTTTTGTTGTAGGAAGGTATGTCTTACTTATTTGGCATGGGGAGTCTGTATGGTAATACTAGATATACTGTATTTTAGTAAGAATTTTTAGGCAATCTGGATGAAGAAGGGACCTCTGAGCACAGGGAGGGGGTAAAAACTCACCATTTCCCTCTCTAAGGCTGAGCCTTCTTCTCATGCAGGTGATCATAGGAAACCCATCCTGATTGTCCGGCCAACACATGTGGTACCTCGAGGAAACCGCGTGACTCTTGAGTGTCACTGTCATCGTGGATTTGCCGAGCACAAGCTCTACAAGGGTAGGATTCTTGTGTCTAAGCAGCAGGCACCAACGTCTCCTGTGATTTTCCCACTAGGACCTGTGACACCAGCAGATGCTGGCAGCTACAAATGTCATGTTCGTTATCATCATTTAATCCTACCAGTAGCCAGCAACCCTGTGGAGATCCTGGTCACAGGTAAGGCATCTTTATCTTTTTGAGGAGTTTTTAGTCTCACGCATCCTCGATGTTCCCAGTTGGAAAGGTCCATCAGAATTCCAAGCATATCCAAGTTGTTGTTGTTGTGCTGTTGTTGTTGTTGTTATGTGCCGTCGAGTCGTTTCCGACTCATAGCGACCCTATGCACAACAGCCCTAAACCCT